AACTGTCTATGACTGCTTATTCATTAATAGATGACAGGAACATTCCAAATATTAGATCTCCTGTAGCAGTCTTTTCAGCTGCAGTTTTCTGCAGCAGCCACAGCTTCTAGGACTGTTTGTCTTATTTATAGAGGGTTTTTTTTTTTTTTTTAGTGTGGAATAGAGAAGTTACTTTTTAAAGCACTAACATCTGAGTATCTGGGTATGTGGGGGTTTTTTTGTCTGTCTTTGAAATAACATGTTCATTTTGGCCATGCAATTTTTTTAAATTCATGTGCAATTTCTATTAAACTACCTTTTGTCAAATAAGGACTGTCTTAGAGTCCTTGTAGCATTTGGACTGTTAGTTTAAGCATGAACTTCTGTGATGTAAAGAGTAATATCTGGCTGAATAAATGTGGACTTCTCTTTTTGTGCCTCACTGATTAAACCATCCATTGCAAGATGAGTTTAGATTTGGTGCGATGGGATGTGCAGGCCTCTTTAATCCTGTAGATAACTAAGGTCAGTAGCAAGTTAATTTCTGCCTGAAGCAGGCACTTAAGTGTCTCATAGATCATGTTTTCCTTACAACTTATGCCTGTTTTAGCAATATAACCTCTAAACTAAGGGCTATCACAAGTGATGAAGTGTCATTCTCTTAGCATGTGGGGATTTGTCCTGGCAGAGATACTAATTTATTTTCCACCAGCGTTGTGGTGGGTATAAATCTCATGTGCCTTTAGATCTATAATCAAATACTTTCTCTGGGATTTGAGTGGGTTTTTTTTGGTTTGTTTTGTCTCCCACCCCCCAAGGAGATGTTAGTCTTCCTTTTTCAGAAATTATAGCCTGGCTTGATACGAGTTTGAAAGACTTCATATGCCCCTCTTTAATCTATCTTAAAGTATCAGAAGAGTAGAAATACTCTCTGCACAGATCTAGAAACATCATCTATTTGAGACTTGTCTAAAAGTGGACAAAAGTTTGCTTTTCGTGTTGAAAAGTATGTGCTAAGTATTGTAAGAATAGTAAAAATACTACATTCATTCAGCTGTTGTCTGCCATATTGGCTCAGCTTGTGGCACTGAACGTTTCTGCTGCAGAAACTTTAAAGCCTGACTTAACCCCACTCGAAAGAACGGGCAAGTTGTTTAAGCCTTATAAATGCAAAAGTGTTTACCTAGCATCCTTGGCCTTGTAGGATGGATAACCCTCATGATGTTACAGGCAGTGCCTTAGAATATAGGTTTGGAGGGGGACTTTCCTGTAGCACAACTTTCCTCTAACTGTCAGCTATGAACTTCCAGCCCATCTTAGCTTTCCAAGCAGAGGCATTTATTGTATTTTGTAAAGGGAGCCATAAAGGGAGTGTGTTTCTCCTGTTTAGATGGCGTGTGACCTTTACTGCTGATACAATGGCAACAGTTCTTTAAGAGTAGGTGTGGGCTTTAGAGTAAATGATATCCCAGTTGCTAAAGCAAGGATGTTTCTTACTAAATTGCAAAAGCAATCTTATGACTGAAATAAACTTGTGAAAGAGCACAAAAGCAAAGGAGAAGTTATTAGTTAATGCTCTAATTCCAGGACAGGTCTGTCAGTAGCCAGTTTAAGCTCTTTACAGGACCCATAAGGACTTCAGATCAGATACTCTGATAAGGGGCTTCTAGTTCTCTAGCCTTTTGAAGAATTTGGTTCCAGTAATCCTCCCTTTCTTCCCTCTTTCCTTCCTTCCCTGAAGGTCATCACATTCCAGTTCCATGGATTAAAGGATGTTACCAGAATTGTTGCACAACTCCTGTGTGAGAACAGTTGGCAGGGCCGTGTCCGAGCGGGCCATCTCTGAGTGGTCTTGGAATGAAGCTGTGTATTGCCAAGAATGCCAGCTGCTGCAGAACTGTTGCAGTCCTGGCAGTCTGTCTGGGCCTACAGTTGAGCAGGCATGGACAGTGCTCTGAGCTTTGGAATATGTTTGGGCTGGGAAGGGGTCTTGGTCCTGTCTGAATGTCAAACACTCCTCAGGTAGCAGGGGAATTAGCAGCACTGGCACCTAGTTACTGATGTCTCAAAGCGCTACTTATTTCATCTTTCTGGTCGCAAAACCCATGGTTAAAACTGTAGTAGCAGTTAACAGCCTGATACGCTAGCACATACCAATGGAGCAGAGCCAGTAAATGCTGATAGGTCTGAAGGCTGGGTGCATGCTTTTTGCATAACCTTGTAAACTCTGTTCAGATAGCATGTGGCATCACTCTTCAAGTGCAGGATTTTGTTTTGGAGTAGGAGGCTAAGTATGTTAAAATGCAAAGGAGAGGAGTTGTACAGAAATGAAAGCAGAGGGCAAGGAACTCCTGCCTAATTCTGGTTTGATTCCTGAATGCTTAGCTTCACCACAACTAGAGTTCTCTTCAGAAGGTGGTAATGACACATGGGTAGTACGAAGACATCAATGGAATATGTTTTCAAGTTCCTGATAATTCTGTTGTAGCCACGGTGACAAATTTTTAGAGAAGTAATATTTCCATTAAATTGATGGATGGTTCTGGAGCAGAGTTACAGCAGACCAGCTTCTGAGCCCGCGAATCTGAAGAATGCCAGTCTCTTCCAAATCTATCTATTGCTGTAATAGGTGATTATGTCCCTGCAGAGAACCAAGAGGCTTGCTCGTGGAACTTGTTCACGTTTCAAAGCACTCCTCCATCTATAAGGACATATGTAGAATGATAAACTCTTTTTATAGGAAGGAGTTTAGGGAAGATTATGAAGAAGTTGCCAACTACAAATTAAGGTTGCTGCTTACCCTTTAGCTTGAAGGGCTTCCAGCAATTTGGAAAGGATGTGAGCATATAGATGAAAAAACTACTGAGGTACTGAAGTTGCCTCTGCTGCTTGATGCGCTGTTAAACCCCACGTTGTGTGGTATGGGAGAAGCTGCATTTGCCATCACAGGGGAGAGGCTGGTCACAGCAGTTGTATCCAACTGTGTATGTTACTTTACTGCTTTCATGGTAACGAAATTTCATGCCCATATTGATGGGATTATAAATCACTGACTCAAAACATTATCAAAAGCTGTGCGTTTCTGCATAGGAATAAGTGAATGCAGGTTTCTTAGAAGTTATCATAGTAGCATTTTCTATCTGCCTGTAGTTTGCTCTTTCAAACTGTCCTTGGACGTTTCTGTTTTTATTGAGTGCCTCAATGTTAGAAGAGCAAGTAATGGCTTTGGCTCACTCTCTCTAGCGTCTTGGAGTAGGCCTGCTTTTTTTCCTTTATTTTGTAGTCTGGGGCATTTAAAGTAACTAAATAGCTGGTTTGAAAGCAGAGAAGAAAGCTGGGTCTCAACTAGGGGATCTGATTTAATGTGAGACAGTTACAAAATAATTTTTGTAAGCATGAGATGCTTGCACCTTCCCTCCCACCACTTGAAATCTTACTGTGTTTTGGAAAAAGAGAAATTAAGCTTGTGCAGAAACTCTGGAGAGGAGGTGGAAATTAACAAATGATATTCATGGAGAAGAAAAGATGTCTTAAATGGCAGTGGGGTAATTAAGAATACTTACTCGTGCCCACTAATGACAGACTAAGTTTTGCAAGCTTAACACATTCCATCCTTTTTTTTCCTTGCGCTTTCCCTTTGATTGCATGGTTGTGGGTGGAATGTCTGCTGCTCTTGGCTAGGAAAACTATACAGGTTCTTAAAGAAAATGGCATTTGTTCTGGCCTAGAGCATAGTTAATGTGAATGTTTCTTTGGGGCCTGGTGTTCCCTTTGGTTAATCGTCTTATGTCATCTACAACTTTAAAGGAAGGTAATTAATATCTAGTAGCTAGCTTCTCTATGTGGTATAGATCAGTGCTGCTTTATATTTAATGCTTTAGCATATGAATTACTCTCTGGTGAAGACAGTGTTTGGATTATCAGTTACCCAAAAATATACTTTGTGGACCAGAGACATGAAATTAATTTAGGATAAACCACACTAAATGTTACCTGTCATAGCTTCATCAGTGGCAGAGTGCTTATTCTCCTAAACTGGTTGAAGTGTCTGCTTATCAGAAGTGCGTAATTATTACCTGCTTAAGTAAAATGACATGAAACGTTTTCTGGGCAGTACAGGAATAAAGTATACTGTGTGAAGTTAGAATTAAACTAAGCTGTAAATAATTATTCCTATGTATATCTGAATAGCTGGTCTACTTATACTGACTGTCTAATGTCCTGTGTACTGGTTTGCCATGCATACCAAAAATTCAATTGGCTGAACACAGGATAAACTTGCTGCTGCTGTTTGTGTGAAGTAAGCTGGATTATTAAAAGTAATCTGTTTAATTTAAACCGGCTCAGTTTAACTGAAAACACTTAGGGAGCAGCCACATGATCAGTTCAGCAAGCAGATCTAAGGAGGAAAGTAGAAACTTCCACCAAAACAGACAAGTTAGAAGATATGCACTGGACAGCCTCACGTGATTCAATAGGTTTTCATTAATTATGCAAAGTGTAAGCAAACTCTTCTTCCAGACACAGTTACCAGTGAATTTTGAGCTATTGAAAGTAATTGTGTTTAAAAGCAGGTAACTATATTGTTTTTGCAAGTTAGATCTTGATACAAATCTAACTCCAGCAGAAAAAGTAGGAAATGATTGTACTTGAGGATTACACTTATCTTAGTCCATTCAGTTACAGCCTAATCAGGAAATGAGTAATTAATCTTAATTACACTGGAGAAGAAACTGCATATTCCAATCACACTTAATTTTGCAGTGAGCACTCCTATAAGCAAGCGGTTCTGTACTCTACCTAAAGGTCTTGTGTTTGCAGTTACGCTTGAAGTGTAACTACTGTATTTGTGATCTTACCCTTATTTTCTTTCTAG